CGTAGATGGAACTGGAGAGTGTTATGCTAAGTGAAATAAGCCATACAGAGAAAGACAGATACCATATGTTTTCACTCTTGTGTGGATCCTGAGAAACTTAAGACCATGGGGGAGGAGAAGGAGAAAAAAAAAGAGAGGGAAGGAGGCAAACCATAAGAGACTCTTAAAAACTGAGGGTTGATGGGGGGTGGGAGGGAGGGGAAAGTGGGTGATGGGCATTGAGGAGGGCACCTGTTGGGAGGAGCACTGGGTGTTGTATGGAAACCAATTTGATAATAAATTTCATATTAAAAAAAGAGAGAATGTGAGGGTACAGAGACTTGGCCGTAGAAAGTCAAATTTCCAAGGCTGGGCTAAGTACTACTTCATGTTTGATGTGCATTTAAAGCTCCTCAAAGAGCCATGGAATAAAATCCCTCATTGGTCCTCCAGGGACTATCTGCAAAGGCAGGAACTCCTGAGTATACATCATTGCATGAAAAAGATTTCAGATAGCACTGTAGCATTACCTATGTTAGGAGAAATTCTCAGTAAGCAGCACATGTAATAGTTAAGGAAACTTGGGGCTCTCAGAGAGCACCTAAATGCTGACACAGATCTTGCTCAGTATTTGTTTGTAGGTTCCATTTGGCTTGCTTTCCAGAAACATCATTCTAAGTTTTGCACTACTGCATTATCACACTGGTTCTGCAGCAATATTTTTACTTTCTATGAGTATTTTTTTTTAATTTTTTTTTTCAACGTTTATTTATTTTTGGGACAGAGAGAGACAGAGCATGAGCAGGGGAGGGGCAGAGAGAGAGGGAGACACAGAATCAGAAACAGGCTCCAGGCTCTGAGCCATCAGCCCAGAGCCCGACGCGGGGCTCGAACTCACGGACCGCGAGATCGTGACCTGGCTGAAGTCGGACGCTTAACCGACTGCGCCACCCAGGCGCCCCAAGTATTTGAGGGTTCATCTCTGAAGCTACAATGTAGAGAATTGTGCAGTCCATCAAAGCTGATCATGTGGTCTTTAGATTTTAGCATTTTCATTTTTAGTATCTAATTACTTTTCTCAGTTGATGCTTAATGACTATATTTCCTCTATTTGTTTCCTAGAATCCAGAAGATTCAAGATTGTTCACCTGCTTAAGGGCTGCCTTCTGAGGTACATTGCTTGGTAGCAGGCCAGGGAGTTAGGTGGTCAACTGAATTGGAGTAAGATTTTCCTTGTTGTTGACAATGGCATGGTGACCTCTTGCTGCTGAATGAGAACTGCTTCCAAACCAAGCATTGGGGAAAGCTGGGTAAGAGGAGGAAGTCTCTTGAATTTTTTCTCTAGAATCCAATCAGGCTTGTCTAAAACTTATGTCTTTGGTGGGCTTGTTCTGTTTCAGAACCAGAATTCTGGGAGACTGTTGCATTGACACATGGAACCCAGGGTTTAGCAAAACAAAGGTGGATATCACTGTACCACACTTAAACTCCAACAGTGTGCTTCTGGGTGAGCATGGCTAGATAGAACATGTAGATAATGCTCAGGTTGGGGGAAACAGGGTGATAGTGATTAGAAAGAGCTAATATTTGTGAAGGGCTGTATAGGTTACAGAGCTTTTCTACATAGATCGTACTTGAGTCTCACAAAACCGGGGAGATTGTTTAAAAGTGTGCTCTATATATTTGTTGTTGTGGCAAAGTATATGTAACAAAATTTACTATTTTAACCATTTTTAAGTGTACAATTCAGTGGCATTAAGTATATTCACATTGTCCAACCATCATCATTATTCATCTCTAGAACCTCTGTATTTTCCCAAATAGAAACTCCATACCATTAAACATTAATCCCCCATTCTTGCCTCCCATCAGCCCCTGGCAGCCATCATGCTACTCTCTGTGTCTATAAATTTGACTACTTTAGGTACCTCATGTAAGTGGAATCTTAACACTATTTTTCCTTTTGTGACGGGCTTATTTCACTTAGCGTAGTGTCTTCAAGGTTCATCCGTGTTGTAGCATGTGCCAGAATTTCCTTCCCTTTTAAGACTGAGTAATATTCTGTTGTCTGTACATAACAAAATTTGTTTATCCATTCATCCTTTTATGGACACTTGGGTCGCTTCCATCTTTTGGCTATTGTGGATAATGTTGCTATGAACATGGGAGTACAAATACATATTGTGTTTGAGTTCCTGCTTAAAATTCTTTTGGGTATATATCCAGAGGTGTAATTGCTAGATCGTGTGGTAATTCTATGTTTAATTTTTTGAGGAACTACCATACCATTTGCCACAGAGGCTTCACCATTTCACATTCCCATCAGCAATATGTAGGGGTTCCCATTTCATCCTCACCAATATTTTTTATTTACTTATTTCTTTTTTGAGTAAAAGCCACCCTAATAGGTGTGAAGTGTATTCCACTGTGGTTTTGATTTGCATTTCACTACTATATTGGAAAACCTACTGTTCTCCTCTCCTGTCTCCTTTATTTTCACTCAG